TTCCCAGAGAGAAAAGGACCCCTTCCTGCAGCTAAGTCTGGAGCAGTCTGAGGCCGCCATGGAGCGCTACAACAGTGTCATGGACACCCTGAAGCCCCTGGGCTACAACCCCCAGCTCCACCCTAGCCTGACGGAGCGCATAGTGAACACCTTTGGCATCCTTCGTGGGCGGCCAAAAGCCTCCAGTCCCGAGGCAGCTGCCTACAGCGACGTCCAGCACTTGGAGGAGGTGGTGAAGAGCATGGCCCCCGCCGAAATGCGGGAGGATTGCCTGCTGCTGCTGAGCTGCCTCCACAAGCTCTCGCAGGAGGACGGGAAGCCCCTCTTCATCTGGTGACCCCCTTTCCCCCCCATTGTGCACCCCCATTAAAGGCAATAAAGGTCTAGAAAGGACTGGCTGCCGTGTCTCCCTCTCCATCCGGAGCCCAGGCGTCTCTGCCCCTGCCAAGACCTGTACGGCCGGTGCCATTCCACCTTGGGGGGAAAGCGGGTCCTTTCTGGGGGGGGGGCTCTGGAGGATGCAGGGAGTCCCTGAAGTGAAGTGAGGGGGGCCAGAAAAAAGCCCCCCCCCCCTTTAAGGCAGGGCTTGTATTAAAAATTAACAAATCCCAGGCCAGGAAGATTGTGGTGACATAGATGTGATGTAAAACAGACCAAGGAACGTTTCCTAAGAATTGGGACAGCTGCATCCGGTGTTATACGCAGATACCCAATTTATAGAAGACAATGGAATTAAGCATAATTAACGGGCTTGGAGGATTTGCATAATTTTACCTTCCTAAAAGAAAACAGATTAATTTTGTGCCCCCAAGTCATAGTCGGCTCTTCCTGAACACCGAGAGTTTCTCCCTGACCTTCAATCTGGTCTTTAGAGCTGGTCAGCAGTGCAAGTGATCCCAGGGGGGCCTTGTTTCCTCTGGCCTTTCCTGGCCCTAGAGACGCACCTGAGCGAGAGGCCTTCAGCTCCTGCGCTTGAGGGAGGAGAGTTCTGGGCTGGTCAGTTTTGCTTCTGGGACAATCCTGGGCTGGTCCGTCTGACGTCTTGGCTGTCCCCTGCCCTTCCGAGCCCTGAGTTCAGATGGGTCAGTGCTCTTCATGTTCTGCTTGGACCTTTGCTGACGGCTAGGAGGCTCTTCCAACGGGGCATTCTCCACATTTGCTATGAGACCCTTGGCTGCTGCTGCTTCGTCTGTCGCTTGCCGTCTCTCGGGAGTCAGTCCTTGTATTGGAGATGGCCAGAGGGATGGTCTCCCTTGGTCTTCTGGGACTTAGAGGTTCTTGGGAATAGGCAGCGCCTCCTAAGGCATCTCGGATGCTGACCTCTCTGCTGCTCCGTCTTTTAGTACAGATAGTCCTTGACTTACAAGCACATTGGAGCCTTCCCTGCACTCTGCCGGCTGCGCCTTGCCCTCTTCTTCCCCTGGCTGCTGGCCCAGGCACTGGCTGAGGGGGGCAGACTTGGCTCTGCCCCCTCATCCCTTGAGCTGCTGCTGGCTCTCCAGCCTCACCCGGCGATGGAGGGAGCTTCGCCTCACCCTCCCACTGTCTCCTCCCTGGCAGGGCCTGGCAACCTTCCTTTGGCAGACGAGGCTCTGCACTGACCACAGGGATGATGAGGCCGCAGGCTCAGCCTGGCAAGGTGTCATGCCCCCGTCGGAGCCGGACTCTGTGGAGGAAGACAAGCCAGAACTGGAGCCGATGGAGATTGAGGAGGCGGCTTTGTTGGCTTTGTAGGGACGTGGGGAGGAGCAGGCCGAGTCAGGCTAAGCCCTTCCGTTATTGGGACAGCTTGTAGGCAGGGAGGAACGGGGGCAGGAGGACCAAGAGAGGGCAAGCAGTGAACATGAGGAGCGGCGGAGCTCAGGCAATGAGCAAGGACCACCCCCTCCTGATCCCCGAGCACGGAGAGTGGAGGGAAGGCGGGAACAGCACAGGCTGACCCGACGACTCAGGAGGAGAGCGCCCTGCCCCTCTTCACAAGGCACATCTGGGGATGAGACTTAAGGAGACGCTGTGGGTAAACAAATATTTTGCCCCATACTATCATTGTGTCCTTGTTCTCCTTCCATTTTAATACACAATGGATAACTATATTTTTTAAAATTATTTTTTCATCCATTCCTGTTAATATCTGATCTAGTTCTGTTAGTTCTTTATAAAAACCATACATTTTGGCATCTTTCTCATATTAAGATTGAATCTGCACTTGTGACACAAGGACACCCCAGTTGGAGATCATCTCCCTCCAAAGTTGCCATTCTTTTTCTTCTCCCTCCCCCCCTCCCTCCCTCCCTCCCTCCCTCCCCCCTCTCAAACAGACACAAAATTCTTTAAAATACTTTTTCTTTTCCTCACGACTGGCCAGGCCTCCCTTGCCTCTAGTGAGTGCACGTCCCTCTACCAATATTCCATTGCATCCTTATTTGTGTATTTAATAATATGTCTTTATAGAATCACCTATCTCATTCTATTACTTTTGCAATATGAAAGAATTCTCCAACATTTTATATTTATGCATCACTACTTTCAGCTGTATATAGAATCACAGTT